TTTTATTTAATCAAAATAACCCAACTGCAGTTTGAGCGAGAATAATTGGAATGCTCAATGAAAAAACATCATTTTTGAAAATTGTTAAAAATTGAGTTATCTGTCTTTGCAAATGAACTCTTCATATACTTTTACATTCAACAGCAGAAGAAAACTCATACAGGTTTAGAAGAACAACAGACCTTTAATTTTTGGGTGAGCTATTCCTCTAAAGCAGCCTAATTTAGCTGCTGTTAAAATTTATGTCAATAATGTTAATCAAACATTAGAAAGAAAATCACTCACTGTCCTTGACCGAATCACTTTTGTAAAATAAATAAGAATGAATGTATATTGAATTTATACAGTGAAGACTATTCAGTTTATTTGTACAATTATTGTATACAATATAATTTCTTATTCAGTGCTTTATGTGTTTCAAGTAGGTCTATTTTTTTTGTAATTTTGTCTGTTTAGTTGTCTTAAATATAAGCTTGTTTTAACTTAGGCTATAGTATTTTTTACATTTTTTTAAATATTGAAATTGGTAACAAGAATTATAAAATTTCAATGCATACATTTTTTTTATGAATAAATGTATCATTATTGTGATAGGGGGCCCTGAAGTAAGTCATAGCCCCGGGGCCCAGTAAGGTCTTAATGCAGCCCTGACTAGTTGAGCTGTAATTATGGTGAATTCTCTCTGCTGGGCTTTGATAGAGAACTCCAAAGACTTCTGAGAGCCATGAATGCAGCTTTAACTGAGCTCAAGGATGGTACCGCACACATTTTCAAGGCACGGCCTCCAACACAAGGCCATCAAACTGTCTGAATATCTTATCATGCACTCATTTTAACTTATACATAAAATACCTAATATGCAATCAATCTTGGATAAGAAACAATAGTGATTGACCGGCTAATTGACTCTTGTTTAGAAGCATCACACACACTTTCCAGATTAATTATCATTAATTAGTAACTGTAATTATGGTGCGTTAAACTAGCACAGACATAATTCATGACAACGTTGATGAACTCCAAAATTCAATGTGTGTGCTCATTTCTGTTAAACTTGGCTGAGCTGACACTTGCTAACCTTGAGCTGAGGCAATAAAAATATTAGCTCAGCAAAGATAAAAGGATCATCCAGTCTATTAGACTACATGAATTACTCATGTCTGCACTAGAAAGAAGGCTCAAGGTGAAGCGAACAAGATTACACACCAGCTAAATCAGCCACAAAGTGAACTTTACCCTCAACCTACACTAGTGAATGACTGCCTTCACATTCAGTGAGCAACAGGCAAAATTCAGCTTGATTTTTTTTTTTACTTCTACAATCATGGAAATGTTTCAGGCTTTTGTAAGTATACTGCTTCTCACCTGCTACAAGATATTGGCCTGCTTTGTTCCATTTAGGGGCCAGTGTAGCAGTCACAGAATAAGACAAACACGTCTGCAGAATCACAGGAAATACCCTTTGAGGAGGGTTGAACTGCGGGACAAAAAGTAAGAGATTATGAGAAGCACAAATGCTATTTTAACACTGCGGGCAAAAGTGGCCCAAATCTGATTCTTTTTGCTCATATGAGACTCATATCTGTTTATTCATAACAGTTTGAATAGTACAAATCGATTCTAGCATCTGTGGTCCTAAATCAGATACAGGTCTGATGTTTTGCATTGTCACCTCAGTCTGAACAGTTACATTCATTCATGCGAATTTTCAGTCTTTCTAAATCTATATTCTTGGCAATTCTGCAGTCATTTATTACTATATAATATTTTACATAATTATCTACTGCAGAATATCACATTATTTACACATACCGTATATATTAGGGATGCTCCGATCAGGATTTTTGCAGCCGATACTGAGTACCGATTTCTTGTCATGGTGATCGGCCGATACCGATGCCGATTCTGATGCTTCAAGCTTTATACAGACGGTTTCATCGGGCGCACGCGCCTGGCCTGAAGTTAACTTCCGGTCTGTGTTTGTTTATCAGTCTGGCTATGGCGCCGGCTACAAACACAGTTAAAGTTAAGGTGATGAGTAGACTGAAGTTGGGCTCAGGTGGTTGTGCTGTGGGATGTGTTTCCCATACATTTATTTATTTGTGGCGCTCGCCACAATATCAAAACAGACGGATTTTCCAAAAGGCTTCGTTGAATAAAAATGAGCATGTACTGCATGTTTAAAAATCAAAACGAGGCACGGGTGTTTTTATATCACTGTATTTCTGAAGGAAGACTATCTTTAGAAAATTTTCGATGTCATTTTCATTTGCCTCTTTTCAAAGTTTTCAGTTATCCACTGCGCTGTCAAACTTAACATGGACATAGGGGATACGCTAGAGCTCCAAATGTCCATTGTTAAACTCACCGCGGTCACATTTTTGTGAAGTAGATTGTTTATGTGGCTGTTGACGATTTGATATAACTCTGGGAGAGCTACATTGGTAAAATATTTGCGCTGTGGCAGTTGATATCATGGTTCAAGATGTGCAATAAGGCGTTTAAATCCAATGTCTTCTGTGACTGACAGCGGCTGGTTGTCAATACATACAAATTCCATTATCTTTGTGGTTATAGCCTTAGCTTTCTTGCTGTCTGGTGTGTAAAGTTCGTGTTTTTTCAGAACATCTGTAATGGATGGCTGAGTGAGAGTCGCATTACTAGTTACCGTTGCCTTTTTTGCAGTTGTCAGTTTTTCGTATTCGCCATACGTCTCGCGGTGGCTCGTTCTTAAGTGCAGAATCAGGTTCGTCGTATTAAATGTTTTGGATAATGCTCCGCCCTGTGAGATTTCTTTGAAACATACACGGCAAATAGAGAATTTTTCATTGTTTCTCGAAATGTCATAGTATTTCCACACCGGCGATGACATGACTACAGCGCCAAATCATTTACGTCCTCACGCATTGACGTCGTCAAATTGCGATCGGTTCGTGAGATCGGCCAAGTTTAGTGAGTACCGATCGAGTCATAAAATGTGATTATCGGCCGATACCGATCTCCGGCCGATCGATCGGAGCATCCCTAATAAATATATATATATATATATATACACACAAACATACAAACACTTCAAATAAATGCTGTTCTTTTTTACTTTCTACTCAAAGAATCTGCAAAAAAAAAAAAAAAAAAACTTTCAAAAACATAATAAAATATCCTAATGACCCTAAACTTTTGAACTGTAGTGTATGTTCAGATGCAGTGGAGAGACACTCTTCAGGCAAGTCAGTAGTGTAGGGTCAGACCAAACTCATGGAGCAACATGAACATTTGAGACATTTTTCTGGACAAAACAGATTCTCAGAAAAACGTCTTTAAACTCACCTGTAGACCATGTTTCTGTGCAAAGGCCTGGGTAATACCGCTCTTGTAAAATCTAATCTAAGACAAAGTGCAGGGAACAAAAACAATCAGAATAGACAGTTAAACAAAAAAATACTCAATTTATGCTACATCAAACAAAGACCAAAGCTAGTGATCACAGACTTGTGAAAAGAAACGCACAAAACTTCATTCAGAACTTCATTCAGTAATTTCAGTGAGTTGCGTTGCTACAAAGGCTTTTCTCTTTTGGCTGCACAAATACAAAAGCCAAGGAAGTTACACAAGCACAACATACTAAATTATTCAGCAGTGCACCCACTGAAGTCTGACAGCACATTCACAACATTTGTAAAATGTGCATCGGATTCAAATCATAGGCACTACTGAAGGTAAGTGCTGATTTAATTGGCCTTAGTTCAGGACAGGAAAGGAGATGATGACAGACTCAGAGTGTGTGGAATGTGCCTCAAATATTTTGCTTCGCACGGGACATGCCTTTGCACGAGCTGTGCTGACACGCACACACACCCTCATGAAAAGTCACGCATATGCAACAACTTCACGCAAGGTGATGCACATATCACGAACACTGAGGGAAAGAGAAGAACAATAACATGTTTTGACAGGAAAAGCAATATAATTCATAAATGTTTTGCCTGACATTGATTTTTTTTTTTTTTTTTTTTAAATGATCCATTTTGGCGTTAATTCAAATCATCATGAAATATAATTATGTTACACTTCACTGAAAACAATTTTGTGAGCAAGAGCATTTGCCTTCTATGTACTGTATGTAGGAATACAATTGAGAGACACAAAGAATTAAGTGTACTAAACAATAAATATTTCTTCAGCCTTTTCTTCCTGCATGAATTTATGGAAGACAGAAAAAAGGGTACTTGTGACTTTTAATCTCACAAGTCTGCCTTTTTTCTTAGAATTTTAAGTTTATCATCTCGCTGTTGTTGTTTTTTTTTCTCAGCCATGGAATACAATTTTTTTAAAAAAAGGTAATTGACTTTTTTATCTCAGGATTATGTTTTTCCTCACAATTCTCCGTTTATATCTCGCAATCTTGTATTTTTATCTTGCAATTCTGAGCGTGAATTGTGAGATATAAAGTAGGCTGGTTCTCCTTTCTAAGGTCACAGGAGGGCTCTCAGACCGAAGGAGCCAATCACCATTACAAATATATATATTACAAATATTAACAATAAAAAAAAAGCTGGATGTAAATATAAAATCTATCATACTTACAGTCATTATAACAGTGATGCCCCCAAAATGGCCCAACACCGGAGAAGCAACAATGTCTGAATGCAAGAGAACAAGCTCCCTGAAAGACAGAGAGAAAAGCCTTTGACGCTTCAGAGGTCAAGATAATGAAATATAAAGCGCTTCATCTTTCTAGAAAACAGCCTCGTGGTCTGTTCGGCTGATTTCACAGACTGCAACTGTAGTGATATTGTTTTATATACAGTACTTAATCCTGCTGTTGTGTTGAAAATCAACCCTTTTGCGTTGGAGGTCAAACTGACCATGCAATTTGCCAAAAATCAACAAAATGAAAAACACTAAAGAGTCATGAAACATACATAAAATCTACTGCAGCTTGTAAGAGATATAAAATATATCAGTATAGTGATAGGGGTCAATTTGACCCCAATATTTGTCAAAAATTTCTTTGATTTTCTTTGTTGTTGTTGTTTTAAATGATGCCTACTTGCAGTGACTATTACAACGAAGTATAAATAATACAGTATGTATCATTATTTGTACATAAATAGTATTTTTTGCAAATAGTTTTTATCCTTATACTTGCACTGTAGATAGCCTCTGCCTTTTTATGTCAAACCCTTGTGAGGGTAAAATGGCAAATTGTTATTATTGTTGCTTTCTTTTCTTTTTTTCTTGGTTTTATTTATTTATTCAAAGTGCTGATTTTTGGTGAATTGCATGAAAACCTGGCATGCTTTTGTACAGCCTTTCCAAAACATATCTATGAGTCTAAACTTTGCATGCACATTCAAGGCCCTAAATGAGAAAAAGCCATAAAATCTCAAAAAAGAAATGCATTGTTAACCAGTGTTTCAAGCAGTTAAGTCATTCTTGAGAAGTGGGACAAAACAGGGTGCAAAATTGAAAAAATAAAACCTTGTACTCAGACAAATAAAACTACATTTATGTATCTTATATGTACTAAGCTTCTGAGCTATGCTTTGATACAACCTCCCAACTTTTCTCTTTTTTAACAAAATGTGCTTTTTTTACCTTGGACTGTGTAATATCATTTCAACTTTATCTTTAACAGCATTCAAGATGTTTTTAACATTTCAAAACACATTCTCGTGTTAGCAGACAGATTACTCTTTCACATGTGACCAACAATTCCACAACAAATATCAAATATCATAATGAAATATTATCAAAATATTCAACTGACGGAGGTGACAGAACTGACGGAGTTGACACATCTGACGGAGGTGACGAAAACCTGAATTTGTAGTCATTTTAACTATCAAATACATTGAATCAGTCAATTACTGTATTAAAACAAACACAACAAACAGTGAGTATGTTATTGTTTATAAAGCTTTTATTCAAGAGTCACATTTAAGTATTTTGATATATCATTGGAACACAAAATCTTATGGTGGTGACATCTGACGGTGTTGACAAATTTGGCATTTCTTTCACAAAACCAATGGAGTTCATGTAGTAGCCATTTTATTTTTTTCTGTTGATGCTAGATGCTAATGGAACCTGCTTCAGGAGAATAAAATTATCTAAATATTTCAAATAATTTCCTCAGAAATTGGAAGATGGTGTTGACATATCATGGCTGTGACAAAGGAAATATTAACATTAGGATTTAAAATATTCTAAAACTAAAACTTAGCAGAGCCTGTCTGACACTGATGTACTCTGCAGAGGTGAACTGTGGCGAGGGGGTCCTTTAGAGTGACAGCTGCCCGATATTCCCTGATTTTATTACATTTTATTGAATGTCAATGTTGAATGTGACGGTGTTGACAAAAAGTGGGGACGCAACTTTAAAATCTTATGAAACATGCATGTGTCATTAAAAAAAAAACACCTTGCTTTGATAGGAGATATTATTAAGTGTTGCTTTTGATAAAACAAGCTATTTTTCATCATTAAAAAAAAAACATTGTTATCCATTTGATTGCATATGAATGCTTGAACCCTTCTCCGTGGACACACTGTTTTAGATGTAGTGAGAGGACATTAAGAAACATAGATTTTGGTATAATAATGAGAAAATTAAATTGAAGGTGATAATTGTGTTAAATACATTCTATTATTAATCCCTCATGACATTTAAAATTGAAAATATTTTTATTTTTTAAAGCTAATAGCAGTTACCCTTGCTGGACCTGTTTTGTCCCACGTCTCAAGAATGACTGAGTTAACAAATCGAGTATGGGTCAAAGGTATCATGTCAAGCTTCAAAATATAAGGGTCTTAATAATCACACTTTATGTGCCTTTCATCACATATAAAGACAACAATCACGAATCTAATAAATGTGAACAACTAAAAATATAGTTTTATAACCAGCACACATTATATTTGTATTTTCACCTGCAGGTTTTCACTTGTTTGTTTCTCATTTCTCCTTCATCGCAATTGTTCGGAAAGAACAGATTTACACAACATAAATTCCTCAGGTCCGGAAGATTGAGGAAAAACAAAGAACTCATTCTGAAAAGAAAATGATGAGGGTTAAATTGGTCGAACCAAATAACTAATTATTGGTTAACCTGTGACTAGTTTGGTCCAAAGACTAAATTAACGTTAAACTGTGCGCATATTCTGTCAATAATTACCTCAGATAAGACTAACTCTATCTATGAAACAAAACTCTGAAAGAAACTTTACAGTGTGCTGACATGAAGAAAGAAAGAAAGAAAGAAAGAAAGAAAAAGGATTAGTTTTACCTCAATTTAAGGTTACACAACAATAAGTGCTGATGTAATGTTACCAGAGCGCGAGCTTTTGGCGGTAACTGTTAGTCAGGGTTGCCAGGTTTTCACAACAAAACCCGCTCAAGCGTTACTCAAAACAAGCCCAATCGCGTTTCGAGGGGGGTCCCCGTTAAAAATCGCGTTCCGGTGGGTAAATTGCACGTTTTTTGGCGGGGTTCCCCTGGGACATTTCCCATTCCAGCAAAAGGGTTTGGCTGCAGCAGGCGCTTGCACTCTCAGGCTTGCACTCTCAGGCTTGCACTCTCAGACACTTGCACTCTCAGGCTTGCACTCTCAGACGTGCACTCT